GAATCTGCCCAGATCAAGTCTGTAATAACGCAAAATCATGACAAGATGCCAGCCGGTGGTTCTGACACAACGACGTTGCCCAGAAGATCTTTTAAAGGGAGTGAAGAAACCCCAGTGGCTGAAGAAGAGCGCGTGCCTATAGCTAAAGGACTCGAGATTGTAAAAGAAATTCGTCCTGAGTACTTTTTGAAGGTAAAAAAACCCAAGATGAAAAGTGTGGGTGGCCCGAGCAGGATGGTTACGGTTGGAGAACACGTTGGCACTTCCGCCAGCTCAAGTAAAAAAAGGATTCGAATTCTCAAGGAGAATTCTAGAGTCGCTCATAAAAAACTCAAGCGAGCTCACAGAAAGTTTATAGACGCATTCGAAAAACTCAATGCTGTAACTCTCAAAAGAGATGAAGCTTCATTTCGAAAAGAAGCAGTCCACACACTCTACAGGCAACTTATCAAGGAATATGAAAGCGCTGCCAATAATGCCATCGAGTTTTTCAAGAATTATAAACTTTACCAAGACCTGGCGAAGGATGCCTTGCATCGCATCATTTTCATCACAAAGACACAAGACCAGCTCCGCGCCTACGCCGACACCATCAATCCATCCATCAATGCCGCCAACGATGCCGCAAACATGGGAAAATTACATTCACATTATGTTCGTTCAGAAACTCTATTGAATGAGGCCAACAATGCTGGAGAAGATATCAAAAATGTCGAAAGTTTTTACAAGGATGCTACGAATCTTGCCGACTCGTATTCGGAATTATTCCGAAAAGCTGATCAAGATTTAAAAAATCAACTTCCATTAGTTGAGTTTTACAAAACTTCTGCCAATGCAGTCTCACACTCACTGAACTTGCTCGATGGAGAAGTTCAACAAGCCGAGGAAGCTTTCTCAAGAGCTCAAGCCAATCAAAATTATCGAGTCGCGAAAGCTCTTCATGCAGATAAAAAGCTCAAGGACGCTCAAGCCCGTAGAAACACCTAATTATTGAGTTTAATTGAGGTTTTTCTGCTTCTGAGACTCTTTGAACGAGACAGGCTTAATAAAGAATATATGTTTTCATTCCATTTGTTAGCAAGCATAATATCTATATGCGCTGAATCTTTCCTTTTTTCGTTGTTACATTTTGTTTGATCTATAGCTCACAGCACTGTTTTACTTCTACAACAGAATTTGAGGCTGATACACAGACTTTTAAATCTATCATATAAATATGACAGCATTATGTTTTGGCGTTGTAGCGCGTGCTGCTTGCGTCACTGTACCCATCGACTATCTGTTGAGTGATTTGGGATTCTCTGGTGCTTTTCTTAAAATGTGCCAATAGAATTGTTTTGAAATAATTCCTCTCACTAATTTTTAAGCGCACCTCTCGAGCAACGTCGAGCATCAGTTAGGTGAGTGTACCCCTCGAGGAGCCGTCAATAAGAAGTGCTCATGCGACCAATCAGCGCATACATGATGAGCCACCAAGAAGACGAGGTAATGGTTGTGTGGACTTCATACTTTGTGTGTCTGACATGAACTGTACATTTATTACAGCTATATGTCCCTTTTCATTCCTGCTGTATCAAAACTGGGGGTACTTATCAGGTTAGGGAGGTTAATAGCCTATTGGCTATAATAACAAATGTCACTAACCTGGACTCTTCTTTCATAAGCCAATAACCCGCTAAAAGCGAGCAACACGCCGTGAGGCGTGCCAGGTGAGCTAAGCCTTCTTCAGTAAGTATGTTTACACGGGCAGGATACACTTGGTAGCACTAGAAGTCATCCCAACGCCGACAAATTCAATGTAAACTTCGATGGTTATCGTGAATACCACAGGCGCTGGTCGTCCTTGGATCAACATAAAGAAATATTCACTCCAAACACACTTGCAGTGGGAGTGTGTGGTGAAGCTGCGATATGCATCGGCAGATATTGACATTCTTTCCATTATGTACTGACATTTTCTTGATAAAGTCTCGCTGCAACATCAGAGCGAAGATGATTTGAAGAGAGCATTTAACATGGATAAAAACGCATTTTCACTTCTAAAAATCCTGAAAGACAAAAAGTAGTTGATAGCACCTGAAAAAGCTGTCGGGTCGCTATGATGGGACCTCGTAAAGAAGATGTTCGCGGTACAAGTGTCAGCTGAATGTCAATCAGTGAAGATACTTTAATTAAAATATAATAAACCGAAATGAATTAAGTAGCTAAATATTTGTCCCTCATGGTATTGCAGAGCAAACTTTTCCTGAAAGCTCTCCTGTGCAAAGTGCACGAACTCAACCGCTGTGCACAAGAGTCCGAGGTTCAGCCGTACAAAGTGCACGGTAACTCCGCTGCACTAGGTAATACGTACTCAAGCCTAAGACTGGGTCATGAAGAAACTGACTCTTCTGTGTGATGAAAATCGAATTGTTCAAGCATCTGTCCCTGAAACAACTAGCCCCGCCGAAAAAAATTGCGTTTTTGTTGATGGCCTAAAGGAGTCAGAAAACTCGGTCCAGGGGTTTGATATTGTTATCGCTCACCCGAAGGCTTTGCTGGTAAAGAGACAACCTGAGGAACGCTCCAACCGGATACCGGTGAATGAACAGATGGCTCCCTGACGTTTAGTGTCTTGCTTTTTGAGGGTACGATGATCTATTATGGCCATGCTCCAAATGGAGCAGCAGCGTGTCGTACTTGCTGTATCCAACGTAGGAGGGGGCGTCTGCACGAGTGGACACTAACTTGCAATACCTCAGTGATCCCAAAATGGGAAGATTTTTTAGGACATATGTCGCCAGTATTCGCGGCCATTTCGAGTGCGTTTTAAAATGATTTTTGAACGTCGAAGTAGGTAAGCGACGCTTTTACTTCATGTCGCCGCAAAGGCGTCATACTCTCGCAACGCGGCGGTTACAGTGCCATCTTGAGCGGAACTCTCTTCCAAATAAGACCAGTACCAAGACATTACGCATCCACTTAACCAACATAATTATGTTAGGAATGCAACTTTTGTGCTTCAAGGGTCGATTAAAATCGGATATACAATATCTACAAGAAGTTTATGTGTCTTTAAGCCTCCAAAACGGTTCCGCGGTGCTTCATCTATCAACGTATTAATCATGTACGTCCTGCGTGTCTCCTTCTCTCTTAGCTGAAATATGCGGTGGGTACTCCGTGCAGAATACTCTTGGGTAATTATGCACGTCATCTTCGATGGGATTGCAGTAATTTGTGATCGTCCTTTTTACCAAGAATCATTCAGGTAATTCGCAACCCACGGATGCTGGCATAATTGTGAGATTAGTGCGTGAATCTAGAACAATAATATTCGTGGTATTCGACAAGACCTTTCCGACATTGACGCGTCAAATACGTTGAATCGACTGGTGACGCAGCTCTATAGTTCACATCATGACCTTGAACAAATTGATTTCAACAAAATACTTGTCTACAGTCATGCAGAGCACGGGTTGTCGACTGTGGAAACCAAATCAAACACTTGTGACCGGTGGTTGAGTGTATGCACTTATAAAAGCTGGGGCCATGTATATGTATGCTCCAGAACATCTCGAGAAAGTGGCTTGGCCTGAACAACTACAGTAAACCAGCCGATATAGCACAGTAGTCGACATGGCACAAAGCTTAAAAAATGTCACATGGTGTTGAGGTGTGACGGGATAACTGGATTTGAACGCTGCAAATTTTGTGTGCCTTGAAATTGGGTCTCTCGAATTTAGATCAGTCAACTCATGTTGTCTACGACGCTTATGTAAGACGTGCTCGCCTCTAAGCATGTGCCGATGAGTATAAAAACATGATTACACTTTAAAATTGTCAGTTTTGGGCGTCAGTGAGAGCTCTTCCACGTCTACGACCACCCATGTCTTTATGATACCCCCGAATACACGCGCAGGGCACTTGGTTATTCGTAAACCGTTTAGATCATGGGCCGTTGCACAAAGCTGAAAATCTCTCCACCGCTCTCACAGAGAATAGCAAAGGGGTTGTCTTTCTTTGCCAAGTATACCTTTGAGACAAGGTTTGTGTAGCTCAATTTAACATGTTGGCAACGCGGTCTCGCGTCGCCCCGACCATAAACTGTCACATAATACAGTTGTCAAGTCGCGAATTGATGAGGCGATACGTGCAATATACGGGCTGGATGCAACATGTATTTGATAGCTAAATGCTTTCAATAACAAGATGTTTGGGCGCCTAGATGTTGATTCAATGACGTGCGCGTTTGCATATTTGCACCACTATTGCTTGTTTCAAGATTTGCTATATGAAAGCACTTACCTACTTGAGACTCAATGTGCGGTGGTATCTACAGTAAGCTCAGAAGACTGTACAAGGAAAATGACAAACATTGGTGACCACTTCATAAAGAATATTAATACTGCTCAGCAAGCGCTACTGACTTGTGATTCAACATGCGTAAGTGGGCAGTCTACGTTGAAATGGGCCAAAGAGTTAAAGTTTCGCCGCACATGTCAATGCCTTTGGCCAGCTTGTCGGTGAGCGTTGATAGTCCTATTTGGTCTTCCATAAAAGAATTCATAACACCGTCATTGTGTCTTTTAAATTGTCTAGTCAACGTTACCAATCTTGCTGCTATCAGCAGTACCACACCAGAAAACTACCAAGCTGTTAATCGACAAAGTGTGTTGTCAATATAGGCTGACGGTGAACATTGTCAAATCGAAATTTACGCTTTACAGCGAAGTGCTGGCAAGCTTCGTTCAAACGAGAAGTATCAAATTATATACCACCACTGGTAATCATCGACAGACAGACAACCATACGATTACGTAGTACAGCATATCCTCCAAATCCTTGTAAGCGACGCTTATGCGAGATGCCCCCTTCAAATAAATTTGCATTGAATGTTGAAGTACATGCCTCGACAAACTTTTCATCATAATTACAGATAATTTTGTTAGTTCCCTTAATATCTTTGACAACACGGCAAATTGGCTCTGGTCTGGGCTGTCGATACAGTCTGACTCATTTTCACGTGGCTATACTTTGTAACAAAATATAATATTCTGTCTCGATGAGATTGAGCGTCATGCGCCGAGTAAGGGACACCACAGCTGAGAGCTAAATCGAACGTGACGAACAGGTCGATGGAAAAGGTTGTCAAGCACACTTAAATACAAATACGTAATGCGTGATATTTCCATTGGTTGATATTGGTCTACCTACGCTTGCAGCGCTTGAGGTACGCTTCGCTGTTCCGCTACTCTCGATTAGAGAGTACCAAATATACAGGTATAGTTGATTCTTCACCATCGCGCATCCAACTTGTTAGGGACCGCATATGGCCTTAGTAAGCTCAGATAGAACTACAAAAGTTTCTCCTCCTCGTAGTTTTTCTTACGGCCTTGATCGGTCTGACGTGCCGTAGACACTTAGTATTATGTACTGCAATTTATGCGCCGCGGTGACGAAGTTCATCGAGCTTATCTATAAATGAATTCATCTCAGTATCGGCTGCATATCTAAATATCCGAAGACGGTTGACGCGTCTACATGTGTGGGAGCTTACAAGACTCAGCCGCGAAAGTTTTGTCCGCTCTATGACCACACTTTCATGTGGACTTTGTTGAGCCGGCAGATACACCAGAGTTGTTACTAGCGTCTCGTAAATAAATTTATTAAGCGATCATGACAATTTGATATACCACATCGATAGGATTACCCTGGTACTGTCGCCGCTTATGACCTGGTGCACCCTCGGTATTCATTTTCCCGGAATAAAAACAGATTCTTTTGTCGTAGCGCGATTTTCACTATCTAATATAGAGTGACCTGATTATGTGTTTGGCTTCTGGTTTGTGGCGATGACAGTTGATGATGGAAGCGAACAAAGATATTAACAGCATATTTTGAAGTGGCGGGTCTCCACCTCGGCGCCCGCGCCGTGAATTTCTCTTCGCAAAGTCAAGCGTCAATATACGCTCTAATTGGACGTTCGTTGTAAGAGGGATAACCTGAAGAGGTCTGAGATAGGTGATACAACGCGAATTACCTGCCCTGGGCGTGAGTTTATAAGGTACACTTCGGCACTATCGCCAGAATTTGGATTTAGATACATCCTTTATATAAAGTACTGGGGTTCTGACTTTGAGTGCTCGGTTCGCTCTCTATTTGAGAGGAAGATCCGGCTTTTCGCCGGCGTGACAAGCAAAGCATGATGGCGTGTAGCTATAAGCGCAACTTGAAAATTTTGGCAATAGCCATTGTGATTTTCCGCTGCTTACCTCGGTCACCGGACTACCTGAGTCGGATTAAGCGTGTTGTTGACGAGCTGAAATTCGTGATGAGTTTCACGGCGAGTTGCCATCCCCTGCCATAGGAAGCTGACACGAAGATCTTATTATGTTATTTCAACATTTTTCGGCTTGGCTTATTTCTCCATATCTTTAGTCTTAAACATGAAGAACCGCTGCAGCTGTTCTCATCAGTGAACATTTCGCCAAGTATTGCTCGTGGAGAGTCGGTCTCGAGGATTTAGGCTTGCTGAGCAGTGCGACGGTTTCCACTGTCGATGCTATAACAATATATAAGGGTGTCACAAAGAGTAAAAAGAGTGGGGTGGAGATCCGCGTTTAGTGGGTGCTTATTAGCAATCGCTTTTGCGCGATGTCTAAAACACATTAATGTAGCTAAACCCCTCAATGTAGCTCACATTTTGGTGGCCAAAAGTGCAATAAGTATTTCTATCGAGGACACATTCTTTAACTTCTGTAAGATTGTATTAAATATGCATTATACTTTTGTGTAAGAGTAAACCGTAATAGCACTGAAAAATCAGTGCTTGTGTCTCCGAAATGAAAAGGTTCCTGGTAAACGTGGGCTGTTAGCTGCACATGAATCATTTTGCTGTTAAGTACAGTAAACGTATAGACTTAGTAAGCCAATAAAATTCATTCTAAGTATGCTAGAAGTTTAATCTACCAGAGCAACCTGGGTTCATAACTACTTTAACAGCTCGGCTTCATCTTTGAAGAATGCGCTCGAGCTCGTCATCTGTGTGTTCTTATAAGTTTCAGCTTTCTCGCAGCAAGGTGCACGGCCATCCACTACGAATCGGGAATTCAAGTTCGCTTCTTGCTTCGTTAAATGCTTTTCATCAGACTTTTCATTAAATTCCAAAGATACGTATGAAGTACTTATATCTATACATTATTTTAGAAGAGAAGAGTAGGGAAGAGAAAAATGGATGCCACTGGAAGTTATTGAAATCAAAGTTGAGAGGGGCGATAGTCCCTCTGCATATTATTTGTGCATCACGTAACGCGCACTTCTTGAGCTTGAGTTCCTCTGTGCAGGTTGCAGGCATTCCCGTACAATGTTTAGACAAAACACACAGGTGCCGAGCAGGGTATATTTATTACAATGGCAATAAAAATTAACACATCAAAGTTCTATTTTGCAATGTTTGATACTAAGTTGCATAAACTGGATGACGTAAATAAAAGCCCACATGTCCGATGGACCCTTTCTCGATAACCCATTGTCACAAACAGTCCCGTTTTTTTATACATGGAGCTCTCACACTTACTCTTTCTTAAAAGTATAATATAATTTTCATGCAATTGTACAGAATTATTCTTTGTATATACACAATAGTACTGTACAGACCCCCATCAAATGTCCAACCAGCATGCATACCGCACACGGTTTTTGTCCTTTGACGACTTTTCGCATAGGTAAACTGCCAACTGCACTTGGAGTTCCACAATCCTTGCATCTTACGCCACATGACCATCGAGAGTTTTCTCACTTACGCACCCATATATGGCATATTGAGCGCTTGGGCCCTCGCGGCTGACACACATACGGCCATTTTGCTGAAATGGTGGGGGGCTTTTTAATGAAAACAAACGTATCAAATTCCTGAGTCCTCACCGCCCTCATCTTGTGACGTGAGGTCGAGCCGCTCGCCGGAACTGACTTTCCTTACGCTCTTTCTCTACTCTCTACGAAATAGTGCTTTCCGTACTGGATAGTGCCGAGGCAAATTGCCGTGAAACTCATAGCAGCAATCAGCTCGTCACCAACAGGCTGGGGTGTGCTGACGGTAGCCAAGCAGCAAGCAGAACGTCACGACGACTTTTGTAAAAAATATCAAGCCACACCATCAGCTTTAATTCGTTACATATTGCTTGCCACGCCGGTGCGAATCCCTTACACGCCTGTGCGTGCGGCCCTCCCTTCGAATAGAGAGAAAAACGATTACTCAAAGCCATTTTATAAACGCTATCATAAAACATTGGGCACTCCGCAAACTCTATTACCGACTGCACATAGGGAATCGGAGATCGGAAAACCCCATACTTTCTATGAGGGATGTCTTTGGTACTCAATACTGGCCAGAGTGCCGGAGTGTACCTTACTCAACTCACGCCCTGGTCAGGGAACTCGCGTTCTATCACCCATCTCGAATCTCTGCAAGCTAGCCCTATTAAAATGAACGTCCAACTAGACTTATCTTTGCAAATAACAAACACAACGCGAGCGTCGAGGTGGGAGTCTGCCAGTGGAAAGCAGGCAACGACAAACAAATATGTCTCTGTAGCGGGTAAGGGAATACCAAGAGTGCACCAGGTCATAAGCGGCAACAGCGCTAGGGTACTTCTGTCAATGTGGTAAATCAAACTGCAATAATTTTTCCAAGAAAAAAATAATTTGTCACGAACAACCCTAGTGTCGCCGTCGGCTCAACAAAAGCTGTGGTTATGTACCCTTGCTGTTCAAAGCCTTGCCACTGCTCTCGAGTGGAGGGTACCAGATATGCAGGGAATGATGGAGACTTTGGTCCGTGTTCAGCAAAGGGCTGCATATCCGACCTGCTCGACAGAGCATATGGCCATAGAAAGCTTGCGTGGAGCACAAAATGTCTTCTTATCCTCTTCCATTTTCTAACAACTTTGATCGGTCCGACGTAGCGTAGACAATGAGTCCTATGTACTGTAGGAGCTGCATGTGTAGGTAGACCAAAATGAGCCAATGAGAATTTCACTCATTGCGCATTCAAGTGTGTTTTGACTACCATTTCCCATCGGCCTGTTCATATCTTATATCTAAGCTCTCAGCTATGGTGTCCCGAACTCGGCGCATGATGATTAGCCTCATAGAGATAGAATATAAGGGTTCACTACGTAGTCGTCTGATCGTCTGTCTATCCATGATTACCAGTGGTGATGACTGATTTGGTGCTTATCGCCTCGAGCGAAGCTTTTCAACACTTTGCTGTAAGCGCAAATTTAGATTCGACATCAACCCATATTCACAAAACACTTTGTCGATTGACACCTTGGTAGTATTTTGGTGTGGTGCTGCTGATAGCAGCAAGATTGGCAGTTTTGCCTAGACAATTCGCTAAGACACATTGACGGTGTTATGAGTGCTCTTATGGAAGACGAAAAATTTATCTACATCATGGACTACCAACACTTTGCTAGAGCCGACAAGCTGGCCAAACGCATGGACATGTGCGACGAAAATTTTACTCGTAGGTGCTTTCAACGTGGGTACATATTTGCTTGCCCACTTATGCGTGTTGAACTACAAGTAAATAGCGCTCGCTAAGTATGATGTATTTTCTTTTTTGATGTGGCCACCAAGCTTTGTCATTTGCCTACAAAATCTTGCATTGCTTATAAATAAAGCTGACGTCAACTCTAGCAGTACATATTACACTTCTGACAACTTAATAATGCTTTCTGACATTAGTGTCCATCTAAATGTCGACAACTGTTTCTGTGGCATCGAATATACAAGCCATCCTGCGAGTTTGTTCTGACGTAAAGTCTTCTGTACTTGTTGTTGGTACCACCGCACATTGAGTGTCCAGTAAGTAAGTGCTTTCATATAGCAAATCTTGAAACAAGCAATAGCGGTGCAAACATGCAAACGCGCACGTCATCAAATCAACATCTAAGCGCCCAAACAACTTGGATCTGAAAGCTGTTAGCTATCAAATACATGTTGCATCCAGCCCGTATATTGCACGTATCGCCTCATCAATTCGCGACTTGACCACTGCATTATGTGACAGTTTATGGTCGGGGCGACGCGACCGCGTCTGCCATCATGTTTAATTGAACTACACAAACCTTGTCTCAAAGATATACTTGGCAAAGAAAGACAACCATCTTGCTATTCTCTATGAGAGATTCGGAGACATTTTCAGCTTTGTACAACTGCCCATGATCCAGATCGTTAACGAATAACTAAGTGCCCTACACGTGTGTTCGGGGCTTGATAAAGACATGAGCTTCTGGTCGTGAACGTGGAAGAGCTCTCATTGACGCCCAAAGCTGACAGTACTCAAGCTATACTCATCGGCATATGCTTAGAGTCGAGCACGTCTTACAACAAAGACATAAGCGTCGTAGACAACATGAGTTGACTGATCTAAATTTGGGAGACTCAATTTCGAGGCACACAAAACGCATTAATCTGCAGCGTTAAAGTTTCCCGTCACAGCTCAACAGCATCAGCATGTGACATTTATTAGAGAGATCTGTAAGCATTTGTGCCATATCGGCTACTGTGCTACTGTATGTCGGCTGGTTTACTGTAGTTGTCTAGGCCAAGCCACTTTCTCGAGATGTTCTAGAACATACATATACGTGGCTTCAATTTATATAAGTGCATACACTGAGTATTTCGTGGAAATAACATAATATCAATTTAAACAAATGACAATAATTTGCTGAAATTTTCAGTGAGAAAATTGCAGTCAGAATATCAGCTCTTCTTTTGTTTTCTTTTATCTTTTTAACCAATCTCAACAGTCAGTGCTTGTCCGCCTGTCAAACTGACTCCTATATTCGGCCATTTCCCCCTCTTGTAGCATCCTTTCCCAATGCTCAAGCGTTCCGCATCCACCGAAGCATCAGATTGCCCGGCGTCTTCAACACCAATGACCGTCAAAAAGAAACGACGATCTCAACCGATGGGAAACTTGACCAATTTTCAAAAACGTCAGCTTTGTATTAAGTTTTCACAAGTGAAAATGACTCAACAGGAACTTTGTCACTGGGCAAAGCGTGAATTTCAACTCACACATTTACCACATCAATCGACAATCTCCAAGATCTTAGCACGTTCTGATGAATTGACACAAATGGCCCCACGAGATTTATCAGCACGTCGTAAAGGATTAGTGACACATCCAGAACTTGATACAGCCTTATGCAATTGGGTTCTTTGTGCACGTCATAATGGATATAAGATTTCGGGAGATATTATTAAAAGTCAAGCACGTTCACTTGCAACTCAACTTGGAATTGCATCAACAATGAGTTTTTCAAATGGATGGTTAGGTGGATTTAAAAAACGATATAATATTCGTCTTGGAAGTGCTGCAGCTGCACTGGATGGAGCTACAAATGTTGGTATGAGTAGTAGTATTACATCACGTGAACAATTACAAAGTATTGCACGTGTCTATGATCCACGTGATGTTTATTGTATGCATGAAAGTGGATTATTCTATGAAATGCCACCTGAGAAACCAATAGGACGTGGTCGAGTTGCAAGACGAGAAAATTGTGGTGAACGACTGACGATTGTATTTACGATTAATGCTGATGCTAGTGATCGAATGGAACCGATGTTTATTGGTGCAAGTAAATTACCAGAATTAACTGAAGAATTAAATGTCGAGGAAAGTCGAGCACAATTTTATTATCAAAATAATAAACGCGCTTGGATGACACCAGTTATGTTTCAAGATTATGTCTCAGCTATTGATACACGCATGCGGGATGAAGGACGATACATTTTGTTACTGGTATCACCTGCTCCATCACATGTTACACTTGGACTTGAGTTGACAAATGTGCGTCTTGAGATTCTACCGCCAATTTTAGAATCTCTACCAATTTCACTTGTCGATACTTCGAGTCTTTCGGCTCCTTCTATATCTAGTACAATGAATACGCCCATGTCAGATGCTTCATCATCGCTCACAGATTCTACTGTACTCCAAACAGAATCTGCAGTAATGTTATCGTCGCCAATGAAAACACCAGTGTCCGAGTTAAACCACGCCATGACGTCTATCACAACGTTACAGCCTTTAGATGCTGGACTAATTGCAGCATTTAAACGTCGGTATCGACGCTATCATATGCTCTACGCTTTAGATCGTTTTGAAGCAGGTAGACAGCACGTTTTTAATGTCGAACAGCTGCAGGCTATGCGATGGGCACGACACTGTTGGATGCAAGAGATTCCAGAAGAAATTATACGCAAGTGTTGGGCTGCTACTGCGATTCTCATGCCGAGACCGAACGCAGATACAATGGCAGCATTTGACTTGATCGAGCAAGAGATTGATACGGAAATTTGTGACACTGTGTCGGCACTTGAGATTCTGCGACCGCTGCCTATTGATGAGTTTGTAAATCCGCGCGACGAAAATTCCGGAATCCACTGCGCAGGTTTGGAAGAATCGGATTTTGTGTATACAGTTCCAGACAACTCAGGTCATGAGCTTAAACACACAAGTAAGAAAACTTTGTCGACTGATGTAGAGACGGCGAACGAGCACATCGCTTCAACTGAATTGACACCACGTCTACAGGAGCTTCACGCTCGAATTGAAGCATCCGCATCATCAGCTGCCGCCGCTGCCGCGTCAGGTTTAGGACTTGCTCCGACATTGACAGTAGGAGACCATGCGAGTTTAGTGTCGCCCACAAGCAACGTCGAGGACGTGCTTGGCTTTTCGTCAAAGTCTGCTGATGGACCGGCAACAAACGAGCAGCTTGTCGCGTGCTTTAAATTGCTGCTCCCTGAACTAGATCGACTGCGATTTGATGATCACACAAAGAAAAGTATTCGTATGACGTTTCGAAAGCTGAAGGAGACAGTCGAACAACAGACGCTGGATCGCAAACGTGGTACGATGAAAAAGATGCAGACGACCATGTCACAGCCTTCGCAGCTTTCTTCTCCAATTCAAACATCGCTACCAGAGCAAGAGATGCAGCAATTGCACCAACAACTTTTACTGCCATCTCCTGAAGATGGTAGTAGTAGTACACAGGATGTAGCCATATGAGACCAACGACATGGGTTTGTACTTGTCGTTTCTGTGTTTAACACGCAAAAAGGTTCCGTTTCAGTGTGTAGGTCACCGTCGTTACAAGTGTTTCGTGATTATGATGGTAGTACATGCTTCGAAGCTTCAGTGGGATGCCTCTTCGCTTCATCGCAGTAATATTGGAGCCTTTCACATCCATCCTAACTTGCACTAATAATCTACAGGCGATAACTTAAACGTCATAGTATGTTTCTGTAGTGTTTATCTGGACATTGCAACGTTTGAGAATCACGTCATGTCAGTCTTGCGACTTCATTACGTCTCGTAGACAGTCTTTGTCGGTTGTATCGAAGTAATTTGGCGTTACGACCACGACACACACTGTATGACTGTACCCCTTCGTCTCACATCTTTGCTGGCTTTCTCTGTGACGTCGTTTCTAGGTCACTGTTCATTTAGCTCACTTCTAAACATTCGAAATATGGTTTGCTTTCTTGCTATAGCATTCATAGTCTATTCGTTCCATGGTATCCAAGCACAGGAAGTCGAGACTCCAATTGTTGAGACTTTACAAGACAATATTGTACCGGAGACAATCGCTCCAGTAGAAACTACAGCTCCAGTTGATACTACAGCACCACCAGTGACTGAAACACCACCTCCGATCGTCACACGAGTATCCCCAATCGTCACAGAAGAAGTGACGACTCCTCCACCAGTTCCAACTGAAGCTCCTACGCTTTCTGTAACAACCGAAGCACCACCTTCTCTTCTTCCAGAATCCACATCATCAACTACAACAGAACCAGTTGCTGTAACAACACCTCCAGTGGTCGACGAAAATGTACCAGCAGATACAGAGGCTCCAACGACAATGCCACCGACTATAATGCCGTCTACTGGACAGAATGTGTCGGAAGGACTCAATACGACAAAGTCAGCAGATACGATTGTACCACCAGTCACGTTTCGAGATATTGAGACGGACAATAGTGAGGCATCTTTACACGGAAGTGAAGCATTTGATCACCCCACAACACCGTCTCCATCTCGGTCGTCGTCTTTTGAAGACATTCCAAAAGAGACATCAAGCACTTTTCCAGGCATTCCATTCTCAAAGACTCTTATAATTTCTGCACTTGGTGGTGTTGGACTGTTCGTGATTCTCCTTCTACTTTGTGTCAAATGTCGAGCTTCAAAACGTCAAGTCCCGGATCTTAACACACCTGTTCAAGCAACAAATACATTTTCACGAACATCATCTAGTCCAAGCTCCAGTGTGTGGAAATCCACACGTTCAACATTTGCGTCTCGAGATTTACCATTTGCTTCAAGTCTTCGAGCAAAATTAAATGCTACGTCACGTTCGTCTATTGACTATGATCGTCCGAATCCCATTTCATTCATTGCAAGTCTACCGCCTAATAATTCTGCCATATTTCTTCGCGAATCCAATACATCGGATCAAAGTCTCAGTCTTCGAGGATGTTCTGAGTTTTCAGTCCATCATCAACATGACTCTGATGTATCTGGTAGATATTCTACAAGTGATCGATATTCTACAAAAGAACGATATTCAACCACATCTCGTTTATCGAGTGAACCTGAACGCAGCAATTCTGGAAGAGTGCCATCTCTTTTGTCAAAAGGAACTGATGTCTCTCGTATTTCATCAACTTCTTCAACACTATCCTCAGCTACAACAAGGAGACACAATCGTATGTCACTAGCAACTCCTGATTTGAGTCAATCTCTTCCATCAGATACTACAAGCGGTACGAATACACGAACTGATGTACGTGATTGGTATCGTGTAATCGAATCTCCAGCTGACAATGATCGTTATACTTCCACTTCACTTGTAAGTGATCATACAACTAATGAACAAGATTCGTTTGAATTATAGATAAGAAAAAAGTGAAAGTTTCAACCCAATAGTAGGGTCTGATTGTCTTCAACACAAGATGAAGCAAAGCTGTTAAGAGATTACAAATCTAACGAGCGATCTCATGTTTATCATCAAAGCTACAAATTTTTGATTCTTGACTAGTCAAGTTTGTCGTTTCGAAAGTGATTTCGCACGTACTTCCAAAACAGCACCAGGTGGAAGATCAGCAAGACGATATGGTCCATATTGAATACGAATCAATTGTTTCACTACAAGTCGCACATGTGCTAAAGCTTTTCGAACTTCACGATTCTATTTCCAACAAAGTCATTCAAGTCAACCTCATACATATCCAATCAATCGACTACCTACCTTTCCTTCCGTCACAAGAACATGTAACCATGAATCTTTAGCATTTCTCGATTGAACAGTCACATGAATTGGACGATATTTCATTCCATGAATCACTGGTCCTCGTTTTAATTCCAAGATCTTGGAATCAAGTACATGACCACGTACTAAAGCACGATATACTCGAGTTACACCATTCGATGGATGTTCTAATTCTCTTGCATAATCTCCATCATTTGTAAGTAAAAGTAATCCTTCCGTATTAAAATCCAATCGACCCTACATTCATATAATAATTCATTTCGTTAACTTGAATATTCACGTAAACTTGAACTTTTCTCTTACCACTGGCATAATATGTTGATGAAATCCCATCTTTTGTAATCGATCAAAGATTGTGGTCCGTCCTTTTGGATCTTTCGTTGTAATTAATTCCTACAAATGGAGAAAAGATAAGTAGATGAACGTTATTTCCATTAGAATTTTGAATGATATACTCCTTTTAACTTATGAGCGATCCAAACTTGACGATTCTTCGTTGTTAACACTTGATTCTTGACCATCACGACATCGTTTTCAACATTGACATTTGTAGTCACATTTGTGATAACCACACCATTGACTTTCACTTTGGAGGCTTGAATTTGAAGCTCAGCTTCACGTCTTGAACATAATCCTGACATTGCAATACGTTTTGCTAATCGAATCATTGTCTTGGAATTAGTTGATTTCGATTCATGTTGTATCTTGGAATCTGGTCGTATGAACGTCTTGAGCTTTAGTAATCGACGAACTCCCTGAACCATTTATTATTGGATTTTGTCCTGTCATTTCTATTTGATAGGGAAACCTGTTGAAAATGATAGTTGCGTACAATTTACTTATTGTGTCGTCCATTTTCAATTACGTGGCAAAAGGTTGAGATCATGCTGAAACAACAAGTGGATGAAGTGAAGCGACTTTGGAGTAATAAGCGACAGTTAACACATCAAGGACTGAATTTGGCTTTAGTTGTGCTCTCGGCTTTGATGATATGGAAAGGTTTGATGGCATTTACAATGGGTGAGTCACCTGTTGTTGTTGTGTTAAGTGGAAGTATGGAACCTGCATTTCAACGAGGTGATATTTTGTACCTTGACAATAATGTACGTACATTGATCGTACAATGATAAATAAAAACTGTACGACTATCTTGATGTTTCGATGTGATAGAAACAACAGCTTGAAATTGGTGATATTGTCGTGTATAAAGTCAAAGGTCGAGACATTCCGATCGTTCATCGTTTACTTGAACTACATGAGCGGTACGTTCATTTCTAATTCTTGTTGAAATGATTTTGTTACTTAATAAGCTTGTAGTGCATCAGATGGAAAGCATGTGTATCTAACAAAAGGTGACAATAACAATGTGGACGACCGGTGCGAACATTTCTAAAACGTCGTACAATACAAACTGTCTTACAATAATTTTTGTTTATTTTAGTGGATTGTACGCATTTGGTCAATTGTGGCTTGAACGTGAAGACATCATTGGTGTTGCTCGAGCGTACGTACAAGTTGCAAGTCAAGATGATAGTTCATGCACCAAATCCTCACATTTGTCATCATTTTCCTAGTTCAATCCCCTATGTTGGCATGCTCACAATTCTACTTAACGATTATCCAATGCTCAAGTACCTAATGGTAGGTGGCATGGCCGTTTTAGTCCTCACTCAACGAGAATAATGCAAATACAACATGCAATTGCACCCACGTGAAGTAACAAATGCAACACCTTACATTGTACCATGGCGTTGATTCTGTCGTAAAAGATCTTGAATATCTGGTACCTCAATATGATCGGGTTCATAACCATTTTCATAACGCGCCCAAATCATTGAGTATCCAATTTCTAAATTGCGTACCCATCGTTTTGTATCAAATAATGGACATGTCAATCGTTCTGTTTCTAAACGTCGTCGTAAAGTTGCTAGTCGTTTTCGATCAGTTGCTAAAGCAACAGCTAATTCTTCATATTCTTCCAGCGACGTAGTAATTAATTCACTTAAATTCGCGGCACGTAATAAACTTGCTGCTACTCGTGTTGCCATTCGATCTTGAGGCATTGTAATCATTGGTGTTCCACCCCATAAAATATCACACCCAGTTGTATGAGCATTACATTCCGGAGTATCAAGAAATAAATCTGCTAAATATCCACGTTTTAAATGTTCATCTTTTGGTGCAACATCTGTAAAAAGTAATCGTGAATCATCAAAAATACCACGAGCACGAGCTTCAGCACGTATATTTTCTTCAGCAATAGGTGGAAAACGTAATAACCATAGAATCGAATTTGGAACACGTTGTAGTATGTTCATCCACGTTGTAAATGTCACGGGATCAATTTTATAAACTTGATTAAAGTTACAAAAGACAAAGTAATCATCGGGTACCCCATAATCAGCACGAGTTGGACATTTTCTTGTGTCAAGTACTTCTTGCGCTGATTGTTTATGATCATTGACAAAATACGTATGTGGCATTTGAATAATTTTTTCCGTAAAATATTGACGAGAAGACACTGGGACAACCATGGCATCACCAATCATATATTGAATATATTCGGCACCTAATGTTCCACAGAATCCCATGTAACTTATTTGCAATGGTGCTGGTTGTAACGCAAAAATTTCATTTCGTGCACCTTTTGTATACCCATTTAAATTGATCAAAAGATGAATTTGATCATTTAAAATCGTACGTACAGCTTCTTCAGTTGTAAACGTAGAAATATCGTGAAATTGTTCGACACTGCGTACAATTTCTTGTCGCCATTTCGAACCATCATCAGGTGAAGTAGCATAACAAAAGATTTCAAATTCTTTTTTATTATGAAAACCAAATACACTTTGCATTAAATGAGCAAGTGGATGATTCCCAAGATCCGAAGAAACGTAACCAATACGTAACCGTTCCACTGGTGTATTTCGTAAAACTCGACAACGTGGAATCTCCACAAGACTAACATTTAATTTCGCACGTTCAGCATATCGTGTGGAAATTGCTTGAAAACATTGCATTGATAATGGATATACAAGTGCATGAAATGGTTGAACAGCAGGAACGACATCATGAAATTGTAATTGTTCATCAAGAAATTCTTGTAATTTCTTCGTATCTTCTTGTCGTGTTTTCCAATCACAAATAAAAACCAGTGAATGAAAATAATTCGCAAAAGCTTCGGGAAAATGAGGACGTAAAGTTAATGCTTTTCGATAAAATCCAATTGCTTCTTCTAATCGTCCACCATCTTTATAAGCACTTGCTAAATTACTATAAGCATCTGGAAAATGAGGTTTCAATTGAATTGCACTTGAATAACATTGAATTGCATCATCTAATCGACAAAGATCTTTGAAAACATTCCCCATGTTACTATACGCATCGGCAAACTTCGGATCTATTGAAATAGCTTCTTGATAATGTGCTAAAGCTTGATCGAATTTTCCTTGTTCTTTTAAAATACTACCAATGTTACTATGAGCTGCAGCAAATTGAGGCATGAATCGAATGGCAATTGTATAACATTGTAAAGCTTCTTTAATCAATCCTTTGTCTTTCAATGCATTGCCAAGATTATTATACGCATGAGGATGATCAGGTTTTAATTGTAAAGCTGTACGATAACAATCAATTGCTTGTTCCAACTCACCACATTCACGTAATGCATTGCCAAGATTATTATATGCATCGGGAAAATTTCCTTCCAATTCAATAGCATGACGAAATGTTGAAATTGCAAGTTCAAAATCACCAGCTTCATAGTAACAACTTGCTAAATTTCCATATGCAATTGCAAACGTTGGTCGAATCGTCACAGCTGCTTGATATGCTTCAATTGCTTCTTTCAAACGATTCATTTCTTTCAAGACATTTCCTAAATTACTATAAGCATCGGCAAATTCCGGTGCATATCGAATGGCTTCTTGATAATATTCAATTGCTGCTTCTACTTGACCTTCTTCTTTCATTAAACCTGCTAAATTACTCCAAGCAATTGCAAACTTTGGATTCAAACGAAGAGCTTGACAATAACATTCTTTCGCATCTTCACGTCGACCTTGTAATTTATATAAATTTCCTAAATTACTTTGAGCTTCCACAAGTTCCGGATCATATTCCAAGACAAGTTGATACATTTCCACTGCTTCTTCTGTTTGTCCTAATACCATATAACAATTCGCTACTTGATTATAAGCATCACGAAAGTTTGGATTCACTTTAATCGCACGAAGATAAAATTGGATTGCACCAGAAAGATCACCCAATTCTTTCAATGCATTGCCCAAATTTCCATAAGCTTCAGCAAATGTTGGAGCAAGACGAATACATTGTTGATTGTAAGCAATACAATGTGAAAAATTACCCAATTGAAAATGTAAGGCACCAAGTAAAAGTAAAAGTTCAGGACGTGAAGCATTCGAAGCATATAATTCATTACATAGACGTAAAGCATTGGAATACGAACCAACAAGATATTGTTCATGTGCTAGATGAAAGAGATCTAAAGTAGATGAGATGAAGTTAGTGGTTGTTTAGAAATAGAAATACAATATTATTGGGTACGTACAGGTAAAGCGTTCATGGTGTCGATTAGAGTTGCAAATGGTGGAAAATGGGACCATTTCAGTTGGAAATGCCATTGTTCTACTATGGGAAGATTTCACGACTTGTGCACTTGGTACAAGAATAACAACTTTCGGACTAGGCGCATAGACGAAGTTCCGTTACTGGCTGCAAACGCGATGGCTCAAGTCACTTTTTTCAAGTGGATTTGGGGTTTCGAAGACCTTCGTTCTGCGTCCAGACTCTCTCGCGCAGCCTCCCACTTGGGATATCATGTCATTTCTTCGTAGTGTACCAGACATGAACGTTTATGGTACAATGGATGAACCCTAACCTTTGAAGAGGATGGTACAACGAGAAGACGAGGGGTTTTTTTTCTATGAAGAAGAGAATGGTAAGAGATACGAGATTTGATGTGAAAGAAGATAAAGAACGAGATGAAGAAAACACAATTGATAGAGAAGAAGGAAAGAAAACTTTAAGACAAACGGTCGAGTACCAAATCTTAGCCCTAACCATACCCACTTTCCCTGCTGGTACATTGACACTGACTTGATGGTACGTACGAATGACGTAGTTGAAAAGAAGAGATTTCTCATCTTGTAGCTACGAAGAAAACAATGAGTGTATCCATCTCGCTGTACGTATGAGAGAGAAAAGAATCAAATTGGAAGGGATATAAGTGCATTTTTGTTGTGAGGAAGTTTGTAGTGAGGAAGGAAATGGTTTTGGATCTAGTGTGACATGGTTTCGACAACTCGAATGAAGAAAATGTTTTGTGATCATCCAGTCAGTCACACATCTGCTGTCTATGGCTGCGAATCAGACACAGAAAATGCGTTTTTGTACTGTAACTATGAACCTATTGGCTTGGTAAAAGTTTGATTCCTAATCTTACAAAAGAGCGAACGAACCTGCTCTTGGTGTTTGTACGAGAATACGCCAGACGTGCATGATGACGACCATTGAACGGCTTTTACTGATAGAGATGTACTGTTGTTATCAGATGCTTTGCTCAGAATTGAGAATTATTGAACTGGATAAAGCAAATATTTCAATTGTTTATTTACATTTTCAACTTAAGGACATAATAGTGAATGGTTAGTCGATCAAGATGTAGAAGGTTAACGTAGTTTCTGCTTATGTCGAGATACAAATACAAGGGAAAGGATGAACGACGGGAATGCCGATGATATTAAGTGTAGATTACTTGAATTTGCTGCACTTTTAGCCGTATTTTGAAGATAACAACCATAAATAATGTCATGTATGAGGCTAGCAGCCCACGTTTCCAGTGAACGTTTTCTTTTTATAAAACTTAGGCTTCGTTTGATAGCGAGAAGTGCATTGTGCTGAGTTTTATTATAAGCATTAAAGCAGTAAGGATGCTAACGCAAAGTATTATCGTAGCTGTCCTCATGAACATTCATATCGATGAGACTAGTTTCGAGGATTCCAACGCTCATTGTGTGTTTGGACGTCTGCCGTAGTTGGCTTCCTGACTTCCATTAAGTGTACCAAGCTGCTAAAGGGGCCTTCCTGGGTAGCCCACTTAAAAGTAGAAGGTAAGAGCGACGAAGCCTTCATGAGGATTTGACTTGAATTGTCCGCGCAAACAATGCACATGAATGGATTTGTATGCTTCGCCCGGATGCAGAGCAGAATGCTTTAGTGACACTCCGCCCTCCTCTGCCGATATACGGCCGAGTCATTCACTGATGGTGAGGCGCTCCCCACACTCCGTGATCGATCTATCTTGAATGAAATTTTGAAATAATCCGTCGCTGAGTTCACGACGACGTCAAGCTCTTCACTAATTTATACTTGACCCAATAAGACTAGCCGAGCCCTGACCCAGCAGCTCTTCGATCCTCTCTGCCCTCATCTGGTGACATACGGTCGAGCCATGCACTGAAATTTTGTTCTCTACACTTCAGCTTCATTCCGTAACCGCCACCTCTTGAGATAAGCTCCGAGCCATTTCGCCACGGAACTCACGAGGGCGTCCAGCTCGTCGATAGCAAGCCATACTTGGCCCAAGTTAGTCGTCCTGTTCGTCTCTAGGCACAAGAGTAATAGCGGCTTCTACAGATTTCATATCGTCGTAATCATGGTTTTGAACTATGGAAAATTGCTCCACCCGTCAGGGTGCACCCTAAAATTCCTTCGCCTCGGAGCCATCTTCTCACACACGAGCAAGCGAGCGACCATAATTTGCATCGCAAATGCTCTACGACTCTACATGTAACAGGTTATTTGGAGTGACGCCTGAGCCTGAAGCAGCCATCGTCGAATACGTTTGTAACTTCGATGAAGACTGTGCCTTGGGTACTGAATGCTGGCAAGATTGCAAACTGTATCGCACTCTATTCGCGCTCTGGATATGAAAGATGTGTCGCCACACTCATAATCCATCTTTTTATGCCAGCTTCGGCAAAGTGAACATTCGACTAGAGTGTCATTTTATGCTTGACTTACAACAGAGCGTTTCACATTAGCCTAGCAGTCAAAGTTGGATTGTGATTTGTATACCAGTAGATCTCAGGATATGTTTGTGTTCTGCAACGACCATGAACGGTCAGTGTTTCGCGATAGCAGCTTAAACTTACAGACCACAGTCGGTCAATTGCATTTAACAAAAATACTTACACCACTACAAACATATTCGCGATCTGTCTGTCCCTGTTGTCGCTGAGATGAGTTAAGTGTTTTACTACGAGGTGTAGCCGGGTTAATATCAGCGAGATAAATTGTATGACAGACACGAGCCACATCGTGGTGATTTCAAGAAGGATAGAGGTGTATTTTACCAATTTTAAATCCGATTGCAGCATATACTCGGTTCTTGACGCAAAATCAAGTTAGCCAAAGCAACATGGTCCTGCGTCGCGGTAAAAAGTGGCACTGGCCGGATTGCCAGGGCCTTACTCTGTGAAATTCTTCCTGTAGGGCATGATACCTCATGATATCATGCCCTACAGGAAGAATTTATAGCGATATACTCGAGCACTGCTCGCAAATGTTCAACGTGTTTCTCCACATTAGACTCCAGGCACTACCCAGCCATGAACGACTGTATAGTCAAACTAGGATAGTTCATACCCATAATATGGCCTGAATAGCTGCTTCACCAGAGCTAGTGCATTTGGCATTCGACTTCGTATGACCCGCTACTCGCGGAGCATCTCGCTCTAATACTTATCGCAGTATAAGGTCATCGCTTTTCCACGAGCAGTGAATAATATCATCAACTAGATCAAGGTAACTGAGCAAATGGCTACCTACTGATTTGTTTTGCAACACACAAGCATTCACAAGTATCCACTTGCGATTTCCTTGCTGACACAAGAGGTCAGTGCCGAAAGAAAAAAATACTCTTGCAAACCAAACCTGCCTTACACTTTTACGATAGAAAGGACCCATGGCGTCACACTTCTCCCGTGATAAAAAGTCAGTTTCGTGACGCACATCTCGGTCCGGGCATATTCGTTGTGGGTCTCTTGTCACCACGTCGTGATTTCCCTTCAACAAAGGGTGTGATTTTTTCGAAGGATTCGTGACGGTAAGTGGTTGTTATCTACACTTAGCGCACGCTGCAATGGCCATGAATGAGCTCAACTCCGACAACTGTACTATTTGCCTTGCAATTCTTTGCAAGCAGCCTTTAACAATTGTACCACAAGCTCAATAAAAGCTACTACTGGCGGTAATTAGGGGGCCTTGGTCGGATTATGAGTCTAATACTTGCGAATTCCGGTCGGTCTTCATCTACATAAGCTTTGTCACAGGATAACGCGTCACTCGGTCGCTTATACTCCTCTGGCACGATAAACCAACAATCTTATAGTGATTGTTTACAGCCGAAACCTGAGGCCAGTTGCTCATTCCTGCTTAATCGGGGTACACTCTAGAGACCGCGATATACGATCACCTCTCTATGTCTCACTCACCACCGCTTTTGTCTTTCCAGCTCCGACACATTACCTTTGCAAGATGATCCGAACAATCTCATGACCTGCATTGATGCGATCGTAGCTGCATGCCCGCATAAAAACCGCTTTTATTAAGAGGAAGAGGCGGGCCCATGACTGGTCACATTTCTCTACAGAATAAGCGCATAGCCTCTAGCTTGTTTGCATTCTGATCGATCCATGGCTCGAGACGTTCACGTCTCACCATACCTAGGATGATACATTTTTTTGTATTTGGAATTAAAACAAAACGTCATTCCACGCTGTCACTTTTTTAGATTTCGAATGAGGGTTTAACAGAGTCTCTGGTGTGCTTACGAGTGTCCCTATCGCAAGATGCACGGACACTGTGCGTGTATGTATTTGGCATTTTCAATGCACTCGCATTCTGTCCTATTTTTAAAGTTGGTTTTCGTTCGACACTTCGACATTTGTATATCTGTCAAGTCTTTCGTGACAGCTCAGGACAGTTAAAAAACAACTCCCAACCCTGAACCATGAGAGCCACCAGCAATAGAGTAAGTGCTTTCTTTAGCGTTGATTTGCATTCACATTGGTCTCTGATGGTCGCGATAGAGCCCAAATCGTTTCTGATAGGTCGCCTGCGCTGACTGGAACTCGACATTTTCCGGTAACACTTTCATTGGACCAATTTACCTGACCCTTCGCATTTCACAGCCGAATAAAGGTGCGCGCAGAGCGTTAACGTTAAATGCTCCAACAGTTGTAACCTCGGCGGGGACCGCAATACCGTTTTGCAGCCAAGATATCTATATTCTTTCGAATCATGGCTGATGTCTGTCGCCTTCGGTGCGTTCAAGAAGCTCCACATCTGGAAGTCGGATAACCCTTAAGCTGTATTTAGCGCTTCCGCGAATGAGGTGGATGGACGTGAAAGGTCTTAGTTTGAACAACACCTGTTCGGGTATTGTAGACTGTTACCGCCCCCAAAGGAGATCTATCGCCATCGCAGCGGTTAAAATTTGCAATTTCTTAACACAGTTCGCTACTTTCTGCCCCTAAAGGTTACTAATTTCTGAAGCGCACTTGCTAGGCAGTGTGGGCACGCGTATGGCGCATTCAGTTCTTTCCATGCAAAAGATCTTGTTTCACAATGACACTGCACATAAGTGCCCCATCTCGCGCACAGCCTCATAGCCACAAGCGCGACGCGATTTTGGTTTATCGAGTGAATGGCCACGTTCATGGCCAACACGGCTTACCTCATTAAGAAGATAAGCTATTCATTGCTCCCTACCTCGAAGTACTCAACACCTTACTCAAAGTGATTGATTCTCAACATCACGGTGGAACCGATTGGGCTCACAGAAAATGTTGTTCTGGAGATGTAATATTAGCGCGTTGTTAGCACCTTCGACGAGCGATTATCGCATCTGGCGCTTGATTACAGTAATCTTACCCCTTCGGGACCAGCAATAGACATAAAATGTTCAAGCGTGTCCAATTATCGGCGACAGATACTCGAACACCTCAGGCTTTATTATCACAAGGGTTACAATTTTTTCATACAACTCGGTCGTATTATTGACTACAAAATTTTATAAGCGCGATATGGTTGCCGTGCAGTATACACAGAAAGATTCGCTCGAAGAGACCGCGCCAACAATTTGACAGTGATTGAGCTCAAATGCTATACCCATGATCTTCTGTTATGCTCAAGGTTGCTATGCATCTAATATTAATTTTGCTTTATGTATGCGTTTTATATCGAAGCTAACGTTGTGGCTTAAGATGCCCCGTGTACCACGCTCCCCTTCACCGAGTCTCATCACCTTCACCGGCACTTATACTCAATTACACACAAGTGAAATGTAAATGCCTACAAATTGTATCTTGCACAATTGTACAAGAGTGTAACATGTATGCACACGAAAGCTATGTACATACTCTATCAAGCTCAATATGCGTTGTCTTCTGTGCAAACAAACAGCATTCAATTCAGAATTAAGAAAATTTTGGACTTTTGTGTTTTCTCCTTAAACCGAGGTACTTTACCTCGATTAGTGTCCACCACATAATATTTTGCCACTTCCTTTTTCATTTTCGACGTATCTTCTGGCCTTCACCATTTGCCCTCCGGGAGTGACTTTTATGACCTCACCGTCTACATCACCTCCATCTCCGTCTCTTGCCCATAAGAAGAAGCCAAAGCTGATCCATTCTGATTCTGCGTACGCTCATTCGTCACAAGACACTTCCACCTCATCCTGCGCTAAGAAAACGAACACCATGCACTCGGTGCGCAAGAGCCAGCGTCATTGGGATGTACGTCGTTTGCTAAGCCACCGTACGAGTTTTCCAGCTGAAACATCGTCCGTAGCATTAGGGGAATTTGACCCCGAAGCAGCTCAGGATACATTTACCTTCCTGCAAGATGAGTGCCGTGTATTAATTGTTGGAGCAGGTGGATTAGGCTGCGAGCTCTTAAAAAATGTGGTGCTCTCAGGTTTCACAAACGTCGATATCATTGATATGGACACGATCGATGTGTCCAACTTGAATCGTCAATTTTTATTTCGAGCGGCAGATGTTGGCAAGTCAAAGGCCGAGTGTGCTGCGGCCTTTGTACGGACACGCATGAACACGACAGCAAATCAAGTGAATATTACGCCACATTATAAAAAAGTGCAAGACATGGGAATCGACTTTTATCGCCAGTTTCACGTAATTCTCTCGGGTCTTGACAACATTGAAGCACGTCGCTACTTAAACTCACTCGTTGTGTCCCTAGTTGATGTCGATGAAGATGGACAAGTTGATCCATCGACTATCATTCCACTCATAGATGGCGGGACCGAAGGCTTGCGCGGTCAGGCACGTGTGATTATCCCCAGGATCACAAGTTGTTTTGAGTGCTCTCTCGAGGCATTTCCCCCGCAAAAGAGCTTTCCAATGTGCACTATTGCAGAGACACCTCGACAACCAGCACATTGTATAGCCTACGCATTTATTGTGCTATGGCCACGTATGTTTCCTGACAAGAAGCTTGACAAGGATTCGCCTGAACACATGCAATGGGTCTTTCAGGCCGCTAAAGAACGTGCTGATCAATTTGGAATTGCTGGTGTGACGTACAGTCTAACATTGGGGGTAGTGAAGAATATTATTCCAGCGGTGGCGTCGACAAACGCAATTGTGTCAGCAATGTGTGTGAGTGAAGCGTTTAAGGCAATGACTTACTGCAGTCGCTTGATGGATAATTACCACATGCACATGGGAGCAACGGGATGCTACTCGCACACATTCCAGTATGATCGAAGACGGGACTGTTTGGTTTGTTCGTCGCAGCATAAGACATTGCAAGTGGATCCTGATGTCATGACGCTGCAAATGCTGATCGATAAGCTTTGCGGCGATGAATTTCGACTGCTCAAACCTTCTATCAGCTCAAGTCATGCAAATCTATTCATGCAAGGACCACCCGCTCTGCGTGCTGCTACCAGTTCTAATCTTTTGAAGCCTTTGCGGGAGCTAGTTCAAGACGGAGAAAGCCTTACGATCACAGATTCGGTCTTTGTAGGTGACATGGCGCTGTCATTACAACTTGTTTTTCAGACGAAAGAACACAATAAAGTAGAATATCTCGCGCCAATGGAAGATTAAGCAGCGTTGCACACAACATTGCATTTTTGTTATCTAGTGCCATCATTTTTTCGCGGAAGCAGTTTCACCTTTAATATCAATTATAATTCTGAATTGTTGAAGTTATTGATTCAATTGATGAGCCCAACACATTAATAAAAGTTGCTTACGGCCATGATTGCTTACAGGTTTAGCGTACAATATCGTGGTCAAGAACTTTGACAAACATTGTAGCAGAATCTAGATGAATATAATGCAGTCTCCGCTCTATTGCGACCTGCCTCAAATATCGCTCATGTCAATTTCTGCATAATTTGCAGTAGCTTATACCTGCTTCCTTGTCTTCTGTGCCCAGAGATACTCGGCTTGAAGTCTTCATCTTGGCTTCGATAGCTAATCTTCACCTGACCCGTTTATTACCGGTCTAATCTATCTTCAAAGCCGCTTCAGCCGGCAACATTCGGATATTGAAAGCGCACTAAGTTGCGTACAATGCGGACAGAAGTGCGCATTCCCGCATCCTGTATAATACTATCATTGCTTACTATATGCCTAAAGGACCTTCACTCTTCCATCTTTTTGAAAATTTCTCTGGTCATCTGCAATTTTCATAAATTGATTCCGCGCGCAAGGCTTCGAGTGCAGCATGGCAAGCGAGGATGTAGATGTTGAATCGGCACGTCCCGCAGAAGAGCAATATCAAATGAATGAACCATTGGAATCGACAGAGATAGAAGAGACTACTAGTAGTGCACAGACGATAGGAACTCAAGATGCTTCAAGTGAGACTCAAGTAATGGAGACACAAGATGCTGTCCAGGCGCCTTTAACGCCCGTCACCAAGACGCCAACACCTGTCGCCACGCCAACAGCTACTTTGCTGACAGGTGCTTCATCGACGCTGTCAACGCCTGTCAAAAGCGTTCCCGTCAAGCGACTTATGATCACCAAGATGCAGCTGGAAAATTTCAAATCTTATGCAGGTAAAGTTGAAATCGGACCTTTCCACAAATGCTTCAGCGCCGTGGTGGGTCCCAATGGAAGTGGCAAGTCTAATGTCATAGATGCGCTGCTCTTTGTTTTTGGTAAACGCGCGTCTAAATTGCGGCTGAAAAAAGTCTCGGAACTGGTGCATCGCTCGGCCAATTTCCCGAATTTGGACATGGCAACCGTTTCTGTTTTTTTCCAAGAAATTATTGACACGGACGACACGACCGCAAAAGTTACAGACAATGAAGCTAACTATGCAGTCGTTCCTGATTCTCAATTCAGTGTCACTCGCACTGCCACAAAAAGTAATGCAAGTAAATATTATGTAGATGATCGACCAAGTAACTTTACGCGCGTCACAGAGTTGCTACAAGACAAGGGAATTGATTTGAATAATAATCGCTTTTTAATTTTGCAGGGGGAAGTGGAACAGATTGCTATGATGAAGAGCAAAGGCGCTGAGGGCGCGAATGAAGACGGTTTGCTCGAGTATCTGGAAGATATCATTGGCTCAAATGTCTATGTGGAACCCACGGAGCGAGTGTGGGATGAAGTTGAACAGTGCAACGAAGTGCGAGGCGAAAAAGTAAATCGGGTTAAGCTTGTGGAGAAAGAAAAGGATCATTTAGAGGGTCCACGAACCGAAGCGCTCGAGTATTTGCGCAAAGAGAAGGAATTGTACATGAAGACAAACATATTGTACCAATTATGGATCCAAGAAGCCACTAAAATTCGTGAGTTTTGTGAGTCAAAGCGTGACAAGCTGAAGGCCAAATACAATGCGGAAATGGCTCGTATGGAGAAGAATCGAGAGGAACTGCAGTCTGTGGAGACCATTTACCAGCGTATAAAGAGTGAACACGATGAAGTGGCTAAACAGCTTGATGAAGCGAAAAATGAATACGCTGAGTTTGAAAAGCAAGATGTGAAGCTGCGGGAGGAGCTGAAGTACGCCAAGGAACGGCAAAAGGAATTGCAGACTGCACAAAAAAAGGAATTGGAAAAGCAGAAAATTATCGAGCAGAAGGTGCAGGAAAACAAAGATCTTGTGCCGCAATTAGAGAAGGAGGTTGAAAAGTTGCAAGCAAAGCTTAAAAAGCAAGAACAAATTTTGGAGAACATTGTCGAAGGTCACAAGGAAGAGACCACTAAGCTTCGTTGTACAATGGAGAAAATTCAGCAAGAGATGGAACCGTTTCAGGCTGAGATGAATGCTTTGCGATCAGTGATCGACACGACTGACACAGAGATTCAGCTGGTCGAAGAACCTGTCACGAACGCCAAGAAGGCACTTGAAGCCAATTCATGCGGAGCTATCGAAGCTGAAGCGAATTTACGTGGTCTTAAGGAAGAGCAAACTGAGAAGCGGGAGAAGCTGACGAAGATGAAGAATCGTGTTGTTGATGCTCAGCAAGAGCTGCTTGAGGTGAAAAGTCGAGAAAGCTCCGTTGCGGAGAAATATCGGGAGGCACGTACCAAAGCAGAAGAGGCCTCTGGTGCTGTGCAGTCCCATGCGACCCGGAATCGCATGCTGCAAGAATTGCTTAACGCCTCCAAACCGGGTAAACCATTAGAAAAGGCTGGATTATGTGGTCGTCTGGGGGATCTTGGTGCGATCGATAGCAAATTTGACGTTGCCATTTCAACAGCTTGCGGTGCGCTGAACAACTTGGTAGTAGAGACTACATCAGGGGCGCAAGCGTGCGTGGCTTATTTACGAAAGCATAATTTAGGGCGGACGACATTTTTGATTTTAGAACAGCTGGGTTATTTGAAATCGAAATACTCTCAGCATTTTCGTGAGGTAACTTCTCCGTCTGGACATCCAGCCCCCCGACTTTTCGATCTCGTTAAAGTGACGGAAAAAAAGTATTTGCCGGCCTTTTATTATGCCTTACGCGACACATTAGTGGCAAAAAATCTGGATGAGGCATCTGCAATCGCTTACCAAGGTCGACAATGTAAGTACCGTGTTGTTACCCTTGATGGGCAGCTTGTAGAGATGTCCGGTGCCATGTCTGGTGGAGGAAAGCGTGCTCGTAGTGGTGGCATGTCGAGCTCGCTTGCAAGCGGTTTAAGTGAGGATGAAATTCGAGATCTTCAGGGAGCGGCATCTGCATTGCGCAGCGAACTTGGACAACTTCGCGATGAGAGAGAATCGCTGGAGAAAGAGTTAGCACAGCTTGGTCGTACCATCGAACAGTATGAAAATGATCTGCCGAAGATTGATTTGAATGTAAGGGCGACTGAAACGCGCCTGGAAGATCTTAAAATGAATAAAAAGACGCTAGAGAAACAAACAAAGCTCTCTGCAGACGCCAAGAAGAAGGTTGAGAAGCTTATCAAGACTAAGACTGCTAAGGAAGCCGAGTTTAAAACTACGAAAATCAAAGTTGACAAAATGGCGGCCAATTTGGCTAAGTTGAAGGATCAAATTCTTGATGTTGGTGGGGAGAAGTTGCGCAAGGAGCAAGATGTGGCGAAAAAGATCACAAAGCAAATTGCTGAAAAGACTAAACAAATGACCAAAATTCGAGTCGACTATAAAAACAGCCAAAAAAATACTGGAAAAAACGAGCAGGCTCTGAGAAAAATTGAAGACGATATTGAAGCGGCGAAGAGAAAGATCGAGGACACCCGTAACCAAATCACTGGTATGGAAGAAAAGGCTCTTGCAGTGCTTCAACGGTGCGAGGCCGTTGGCGAAGAGGTTGCTGCGAAGGAAAAAGAGCTTCGTAAAGACGAAGCCAAGTACAAGAAACTCAAGAAGGAATATGATGTGATGGCGAGTGCCGAAGTCGATCTAAGCAACAGCTTGGAGGACTGCGAAAAGATGGTTGAGGAAAATTTAAAGAAGGAGAGGTACTGTAAAACAAAACTTACGACTCTTCACGCTGCTTTTGTCACGGATCAAGAGAACAATGCTGGTTTCTTTGAGGATGAACGCGGCCAACCTGCTCGAAAGCGTCACAAGAAGAACAGGAACGCTGACGAACATGAGGACACAAACGAGGAGCAGAAGACGGAGCAGGAAGAAGAGGGTAGTGAGAATGAAGAAGATGCTAATCTCGACGTTTCACTCGAACAGCTTCCCATACTCGACCCTGTTACGCTGTCCCGTTACAGCAAAGAAGAGGTAAAGTACGAAATGTCGGTACTTGAGCAGCTGCGCGATGAATTAAAAGCCAACGTAAACATGGGTGCCTTGACTGAGTACAAGAAAAAAAAGGAGGAATACAAAGCGCGTGTCTCAGAGTTAGAAGAGGTGACTAAACTACGTGATGCAAAGCGACATGAGTACGACGAGCTGCGCCGCAAGCGATTAGAGGAATTTATGACGGGCTTTCGCCTGATTACTCTCAAGCTGAAGGAAATGTATCAGATGATCACGCTTGGTGGTGACGCCGAGCTGGAGCTTGTGGATTCTTTGGATCCATTTTCAGAAGGTGTCGTGTTCAGTGTGCGGCCTTCGAAGAAAAGCTGGAAGAACATTTCGAACCTTTCTGGTGGTGAAAAGACTCTGGCATCGTTAGCCCTTGTATTTGCGTTGCATCATTACAAACCGACGCCTCTGTATGTGATGGATGAAATTGACGCTGCCTTGGATTTCAAAAACGTGTCGATCGTGGGCAACTACATCAAGCAACGCACCCGCAACGCGCAGTTCATCATCATCTCGTTGCGCAACAATATGTTTGAACTCGCGGATCGTCTTGTTGGGATTTACAAGACAAACGACGCCACAAAGAGTGTGACGATTAATCCGAAAATTTACGAACAGGGCACTACCACGAATGTGACAACAACGCCAGTGGGACAGAAGCCAGGAACCCCGGGCATGAATAGTCCTTATAGTAGCTCCGACCGGTCCGTGAAAAAAGCTCGTCGGACTAGCCAGCTGTCAGTGCCATCTCCCGTCTCACAGCAAACTGTATCAGCATTGAGCACGCCTCTGCAAGACCGAACAAACCGGTCGTAGGTTAGCACGTACTAGTCATTCGTTGTGTAGTGGATACATCTGTTCGGGATCTCTTGGTGCATTTGGTAAGGTCACTTTAAATTGTTCTGTCGCCTTGCACACTGCAAATCTTACGTTCCAGCATAACGTCTGCACGAAGACGACAGCTGTTAAAATTTTACGAAATGACAAGAGCTGGACTGATTTTACCGGAGACAGTAGTGTCAGATGCGTAGGAAGATGGAATATGTAAAAGGTCGAGCATTGCTTGGCACTACTGACGACTATTTAAATTTGAAGGTCGACGTTACCAGCGAGCGTTATCATTAAAAATGCCACATCAAGTTTTTCCTTCCAACAAATTTTTGTTAACTCCTGAGTTTGAATAAGCTGAAGAAGAATGGTGGACTAGTGTTTGAATGGCGAACGTTAAACGACGCAAGCGACAACTAAGCGTCAGTTTTTGAAAGTCCCAATTAAGGTCCCACGTCGTTGTGATGGCACCAGATCACAACCAATATATTTACAAAAGAAAAGATCATTACAAAAGAAGATTCATCACTCATATGTTGTAGCAGCACACAATTCAACTACTATAGCACTCTGACAGCTGCTACGAGGACACAATGAGTCCCTTTTCTCGAACATACACGTATGAGCACGTCAATGAGAATACGGAGATTGTTGATGTTGACGATTTGACAGACATAAAATTCGAATAGTAAGTGACACATGACATTACCAGATTCACATCTCCCGCTTCAATGTGCATCTTGTCGGTCGCACAATTTCGCGTATTTGCACTCGTAGCTTTTACTGAGCACGTTGGTGCCTGTTTATGAGCCTTGAAAACCAACTATTTACAACAAAGCTACTACATGATGTCCCCTCTCAACCAACACACATGGTCGAAGATCGATCAAGACGTTTTCTTCGCTCTATTGTGCTGTCAATAGACGTGTTGCACGACTGGACCAGATGAACTACCTGCAATCGAATGGACAAAGACCCATTGATGTAAATCTACACTTCTTTCGAGACCAAGGATGTAGATCATCATTATTCAATTGACCACCACAGCATCTCTGCCTCCCCACGATCTGTTCAGATTACCAATGAAAAGCTTTTCAGCAATTTTCATTGCCTTTGCACTCTTTCATGAATTTGTGGAGAGTTCCTCGTTGCCCCTCAAAGTCAACAATACTTACAATTCAAGTCAACCACTTGGTACTAAGTGCACTCTAACGGGGACATACAGAAAGGGAACCGATATCTCTTTATGCAGCAAGATCACAGTCAGTTCGTTGACTGTTCCGGCTGGTGTTACGCTGGACCTGAGTAAAGCCAAACGCGGAACTATCATCGAGTTTGTCGGCACCACTACTTTTGGCACAAAAATGTGGGATGGACCTCTTGTGCGTGTTACTGGAATTGACCTCCAGGTAAAAGGATCAGGTATTCTAGACGGTCAAGGGGCTCGGTATTGGAAGAAAGGCCAATCGATCACACGTCCAGTTTTTTTTAAACTTCTAGGCGTCATGACGTCAACGATATCTGGTCTTACCCTTAAAAATATGCCATATCGTACCTTCAGCATCGTCAATTGCAAGAAAACGACACTTACTGGTCTCACTCTTGACTCGAGTGCCGGTAATGGCATCGCAACGAACACGGACGGATTCGATCTGACCAAAAATGACCAAATCACGATTACAGGCAACATCATTCGCAACCAAGATGACTGTCTAGCTATGCAGTCGAGCACAAATACAGTGTTTACCAATAATTGTTGCTACAATGGTCACGGAATTTCGATTGGATCTATTGGCGGACAAGCTGTCGACGAGTCGACAACAGTTCAAGGTCTATTAGTTCAAGGCAATACGATCCAGGATAGTGAAAACGGTCTTCGTATCAAAGCTATCATTGGACTTCAAGGGCTTGTCTCCAATGTGAAATACATTAACAACAAGGTTGTGAACGTGAGGAATGCTATCGTCATCCATTCGGACTACAGTAAGGCCAGAGGTCGCTACACAGGCGCTCCAACTAGTAAGGTTACCATTTCGGGGGTCACCATTTCGGGTCTTTCAGGTTCAGCCTCTAAACTGTACGACATTGGCGCTAATCCCGATTGCGTATCGGGCTTGGACTTTTCGGGCTTGTCGTTGAGTTACTCACTTCGGGGAACAATTTCAGGCCTTGCCGCTAACATAAAGATTTAGTGTTTTACCATGCTCTTTGGTATTGAATGGTAGTAGATCAGTGACAAATTTAACTCTTGAATGGAAAGCGTATTGTTTGCTCAACAATTGTAGTGTGACTGATGCTGATGCTGCTGATCCATGCGAGTAAATAACTGCACAATTAATATGGGAACAATGTCTTTGAGGTAGAGAGGCTAAGTCGGTAATGGATTTGGTTCTCATTCGAACAGAGCAGCGGCTCAAACTAGGAGGTCACATGGTAGAATGGGCTCAAACGCGGCGTTTTGTTTAATACAATACGTTTTTAGCTGGAGAGTTCAAGCGATAGATATCGCGAGTGATCACAACACACAACATGGTCAATCGCGTGCGGTCAGAGCTTTTTTCACTGATCACAATTTGAGAACTAGCGGACTTTGTCGAAGTAAGCGCTGGATAGGGCTTACCATGTTTGAAAAAGTTATGACTAACAACTTCACGGAATACAAAACCTTTCGCGTCCATCCAGCCTTGTTCGATGAAGAGGTAAGAGTCGCATTATATATGTAACAGGTAGAGGCTTTACCAGCATGCCAAAGCCGTTGGATCTCAGTCAATCTGAGAAGAAAGCGAAATTTTACTTAGATGCCAAATAACGCCGTGATATCTGCTATTAGAGTATCAAGCAATTCGCCCAGTGTCCTTTTTTCTTGAGCAGAGAAATACGAAAGGTTTTGTTATCACATAAGATTAATCGGCAGACTTCTCGCGATAAATTTGGTCCTAGTACACATGGAGAACCTACTGGGATATAATTGTGCTTTCTTGTACCAAGTGGAGGTCGAGATCAACGTGCCCAGCCTATAGAAGGTAACTTTCGTAAAGAGAGATGTAGTATACGTCTCGGATTTATTGACTGTTAATATTAATGTCTTGGGCTATGTAAAGTCCAGATATTTTCGAGGGTGGCTTGCAATCACGTCCGACGCGCGACCTCTACGCGGAGGCATCGGGGATGCCATGTGCGGATACGATACCAATGGGTCTCGCGACGGGAAGAGCTGAGATTTTTTGAACCTTGTTGTAGAGGACTTTGGCAGCGTAAATGTCGTTTGGATCTAAAATTGCGTCAAATATGCGATCTTGTTCTATAAGTGACTTGGCTGGAGCTCTCTGAGCCATGAATCGACCGAAAGTCGATGCCATCAGGTGCCACAAACATTTTTGAGATCATAAGACCACCGTTGCAGGAATGCCGAGGTGTTTAGCGTGGACAAAGAGCTGTGATACACCGTCTTGTGTAACCCACCCCACTCATACCATGGTACGTGTAATCCCGTTACAGCTCCGATACTTGAGCAGCGCTCAGTGGATTACGTGCCACCCCACGTTTGGCCCACGAACCATGCCCGAAATTCTCCTCGGTGTTCACCAACTCGAATACTCCGATCCCAGCACGTTGACCGTTTCGGCACAGAGCCCGCGCCAATAGCGTTTTTGTCTCCTAGTAGAGGCGGGTTCATGACTCACCAAAGCTCCACCAGGAGACGTGCGCGTAGCGCCCAATGTCTTCGACCTGGTGCTTCAGCCATACCATACCAAGAATGAGGTCATACTTTGATTCCAAGTCGAAAATTAAGCAGAAAGCCAAGCTATCAATGTCAAGAAACTTGACACCGAGGTCCACAGGGACCTTCGGCGCCGTGACACATGTCTCCGTCGCTAAGCAAACAGTGACGATGTTACTCAACCGCGCCTTCGGCGCCTCAGCATACAGCTAACTTCCTTCCATGTGGAGCGTCGATCATAATTGCCTGATGTCCTGTAGTCGATTAGGATCTTCCATGCTTCTAAAGCCCTTCACGGTCGCCTCCACGACCAGCGAGCCCGGCTTGCATACACGTTTCACGTTCAAGAGCATGGGGTATCCCGGCAATAAGAGCTCTCAACTCTAGGACAAAGTCCAATGCTTCCTTCTTGCCCGATCGGGCGACAAGGAAACGCGATCACACACGATATGCCTGTTAAGGCGGCGAGAAAAATCGCAAAAGCTGCAGTCCCAGCTCCTTCCAGGAGGGAAACGCCGCTTCAACCGTAGTACCTAACGTGAGCGTCCATTCTGGCGCTTAGCCCCCGAGCTTAAAATAGCTAGCGCCTAGCGCTGTTGCTCGGGTTGACGCATGGCGGACGCCATAGCGATCTCGACCCCTCTCACCCAGATCAGGAGACTCTCTTCATTCTTGCCCTCAAAGGTCTTAACACTCACCATTAGCAGCTTGGGTCGGGAGGAGTCATCCGTCGTCGACGGTGGCGTCATGGACGCAGCTGACCCCAACTTTTTCCGCTGTGATGCTTCAACAGAGCATTTACATAGCTTTTAAGCGCCTATAGGTGCGCGCTGATCGCTTCAGATCCTTGCGAAGCGAGGTGTTGCACTCCATTAGGGTCAAGCAGAGACATCAGCCTTTGAAGCCCGTCCTGCATGCCCTGAGGCAAATAAGAAAAATTCTCCATCCTCACAAAGGGTCAGTCGTAAGGACTCAGGTGTTGATTGACTACAAGTACTACCAAGTTCAGCGAGGCTGCCGTAGCTCTTTCGCTTGAAAGTAGTTTGGCTACGGTTCGCGACCTTCGTTATATACTAAAAAACAGTACAAGTGTAGCGGATTGCAATTCACTTACTCTAGGCATAAACAACCTTAACTCCCAGGCTAATTATCTCTTTCAGTTTAGATGTAAACTATTTTATTTGCGGCAAAGCCGCCAGTATCGAAATCGATAAAACTTCTTGATAAGATAGTAAAACCCAAATAACGTTTATAACTACTGGCATTTCAGCCACGTACTCTTATTGGAGTGTTACCACACCATTGTGTGGTCACACAATCTTGTGCGACACACACCCTACATAACAGGGCACGTGAAACCCCATTATATATCATGTGTCTTAAAACACATATTGTGTTTGCGGTATACATCGCTGCACGTTAGGTGCCATGTGTGTCAGTGCTATAGTATAAAATGTCTTTGAATAAACCACAGCAGTCCAGACGTGCGAATGCGTGTTCCGACAAAAAGCGACATGTGAGTTATCAAACGCCTTGGTTTCAAATACTTTCAGCAATGCAACACATGTCGCGTCTGCCCTACACGCTGTGCGGATCGCCTCATCAATTGACAACGTCATCCTGAAAACATGCAACAAGTCATAGTCGAAGCGACGCGAAGGTGCATCCGCAATTGCATTCCGCTGAACTGGCTGATATTTCACTTTGAAAATTGAGCCCAGTAAGGATTGATAACCATCTTACTATTCTGTTGAGAGTGAGGCAAAGACCATGCTGTGCGCAATGACACACGCTTTTTATAAATCTCAAACGGCTATGAGTCAAGCAAATGCATTCCGAACTTTACGAGGGCAAAGCTTGTTGCACTTTACTTCGTGTCTTGTACGAAGTACTTTCTCAGCACCTTCCAGCAGGAGAGACTTGAATGCAAGCACGCATTCATGTCCTGCTTGTATTTTAGCACGGTTTATTGCTAGAATCGAAGCCTCGCAACGACATGAAATTGCCTCTCTACGCTGAGAGATACCAACTTTGAAAAATGCATGAAGCTTTTATTTACCCCCTCCGGAGACTGCCTCGTCAGCCGTACCACTCCATCATTTCGCAGCCGTTTCAAAGGGTGTCGTAAAACGTCATGTGTGCCTGAATGCAGCGCATAGTTTTGGCTCACTCGGATCTAAACTTCCATTAAATTGGCCGCAAGGTGATTTTCAAAAAGAAAACAATCCAGGTAGCCATAGGGGACTTATGCATTTTTGTTTGGCAGTCAATCAGTGCCGTAAGGTATACAGCTAAACAGTTGATTCATTTTCTTCAAATCTGTGCGTAACAGCAATTGTGACTTATTTTATTTCTAGCGATGAACAGCTTTGCACGTGACCAATTCATTTCAGGATACACTATGAACCGTTGGCACGCTCTTCTCAGCAGAACTCGGCTTTAGGTATTCACACTTAATAGACTACGGTCACTATCACGGTTACATCACGAATGGTGCTGCTCTAAAATTCTGAATCAAACATTCCTAAGGCTAGGCATAGATGGGTGCGTTGATCATACAAGATTTTCCCTATCTCGAAATGAATTACAAGGAATCTAGTATAGAAACGCTTCATTTAGATTTCATTTGATTCTGGGCTATATAAGTTGTCAATCTTGCATAAAAGCATCTATCGGCTATGACGAGACCGGTTCCCGCTAGGAGTTCATACTCAGCAAACGCGTATTGCTTGCAAACTATAACATATGTTAGTCATTGCGAGCGAGAGTGGCATTAGATGATTCACCTCAGAATATTCATACCTCTACTCTTTTGAGCACCGAGTATACTTTTCTACACCTGATGGTCTCCGCGTGCGTCTTCATGTAGGCTAGAAAATAAGAAGTGCCGCGTACACTCTGCTGGTGGTGACAGGCTACCGTTGCTGCCATGCAAAGTGCGACTGGTAGTATCAAAGCAGAGTAGGAGGTTTTTTGATTGCAACATGTTGCTGCACACCTTGAAGAGAGGAAGTAATGAATCTCAGATTTCTTGTTGATAGCGCACAAAAAAGAGGTACATTGCCATATTAAATGTTAAATTGAGAGCCTTCCAAGTGACCGGTACTTAATTGCTCGAATTGATTGAGTGATATACTTCTAGTCAAATCCGACTAGATTGGATACAAATAATACATTTTTCATAGTCTATCATAGTAAAACACGTATTGCGTGAAGCTAGCCGACCATGTTTTTATGGACCTCGATTTCATGCAGTACTGTCACTTTCATCCATACGAAGTTATTTTCTTATTACTCACTCATGAAACTCTACATGGTACTTCTAAGTTTCTCATCAAGTCCACAATGCAAAGGTGTAATGCTCACGTACACTTTAAGAGGGTTGTGCCTAGCTAAACGCTACCAGCAAAATAAGTGCCCACTGAACCCACAAATTCTTATGCAGCACGCTTATAGTAGATCAACTATTGTGCTGCAAGTACGTCCCCCTAGTGCACTCACTAGTACACAATCATGCGAACGTCAACTTCGTCAAAATCCCATTTTAATCTTTGCTTTGTTTAGCGCGTGGAGTAATTAATACAAAAAGACAAGGGATCTGCGGTCGATGTATTAGGCTGTAGCGAAGGCAGGTTCAGGACTGACATTGCAAAACCAGCAAAATTTATTTTAGCTGCTGCTGAGTCTTACGTCTTTGTGTGTGGAGCCACCGCACTCAGACGACTAGGCTAACATGAGATCAGAAGTGGTACTTACAGCTGCTGTTGTATTCATGTGACGTTAGACTCACAGCCATAGCATCATATCTCTCAATAAAGACTTTCCTCAGTAACGAAGGCAAGATGTTCGCTGATAAGAATGATAATAGTATTAAGTTGGCCGACACAATACCTGCACGCTAACCAAAGACTATAGAATCGAGCCACTTTCCGGCCACGGGAGCTTTTAGAAGCCCCTAACGTTTGGTCTCACCTAGTTACGCACACCTTGCCGTTTCTCATATAGCAATAATTACGCCTCGGAATCACGACAAGAATAATCTCGTTATTGATAATTCAGATCAGGATCAGCGAGTCGTCCTGACTCATCTGAAAACCACAGAGTCTTATCGTGTCTCAATGAAATCACTTTAGACTACAACTCATCATGGATTGATCCATCAGTGCCATTAAGTGCACCATGGCAGAATTCTAAACACCTATGCGTGTGGTGGAACATCAACATATTAGTGAGGGAACGTGCACTTCGAAGTCGCTCTACAAGTAGAAACGAAGAGAAAGAGAAGTTTTTTTTTCACATTTCCTCAGAAGTATCGCTTCATTTGATCTAGCAGCGGTCAGAAAATCAGTGCCCTTCGAAAAATTTGTATAGTATCGCGACAGTACCGAATCATACATGACACAACCTAAACGTCAGACGCTATTCATACTTTACCGCGCTACAAGCCACTTTCAATCATACATAAATCTTATAAATCTCACAGTTAACGATGGATCATCAAATTTTCATCATGCGACGTCGACGTCGCGTCGAGCTCTCGACTCCGTATAATCTTTGCGCTTGTACGTATCCTTAAGTCTGTGGTACAACTACAGCTCAAGCATAAAACTTTGAAACCAGATCAGACTTCATCTACTTGTGGGATCGTTGTGTTACACACACATGTAGTTTCCTTAGGAACGGTAAAACAGCAGAAATTCATAGTCAGATAAGCACGAAGGCGAAAAAATCGTGCCATATAGCAATCGCGAGCCTGAATGAGTGCTTGTAGGTGGGACAACTATTCCACTTTACCAAATACTGACTATTCCTCCCAGTTAAATGCCGACCACGATACGTTCTTTAGAGAAGTGGATTCATTCTTGCCCATCAAGAAAGCGCCGATAGAGGGCAACCGTCACTGCTGGCTCATGCGAGTTTTCTCGGACGTGTGACCCGTCGGTTTTTCCTACGAGTCTCGACGCGCATAAACTATGTGAACACTAATCAGCTCTCAGACAAGCCTCAAATCCAAACTATCATGCGGATGGGATTGAGTTTGCTCAAAACGACTTAGCCCACATCACCCCAAAAAAGCAAAAGGCAGCCCAGCTACACGTGATGTCGAAATGACAGAAGCTGATGCATATGATTGGCGTGTCAGATCAAGCTGGTGGCATGGAATTTGGTAAATCTATATCACACATAGCATAACTTCGCATGCTGTTAGGGCTATCAGAGTATTTTGCATTATTTCTCTGTCTATGACCTTAAAGAGTCCAATATTTCAAGAGCTGCCGGACATAGTGTCGTGCGATTGGCGCATGAAGCTCAAAGTCGATATAATAAATTTACAACGAAGTATAACATGGCTGGCAATTTCAAGTTAGTCACGGCTCCCACCAAAACCAGAGCTATTTGTGGAGATATCCGAGAAATACGGAGGTAACAAGCAGCCAATAAAACCTTTTGTGGAGGCGTGGACTGCGTTCTTTGACACAAACGCAATGCATTAGAGATATAAGCTCCAGCGCAGCTGTTGCTTCGCCGGTTGCTTGGAGATAACTCTCCACCACACAATTAGTGCCATTGGTTTGCAAATACTGCGCTACGGGTGTATCAATCCTGGCGCCATAATTAGTGCAAGGTGCAGATCATCATGCGAGACAATTGCCAAATTTATGCCATGCTGATAAAAAGCTTGCTCAAAAAAACAGCTTGACTGCACGCTCACCTGGAAATTTTGTGACGAGATGTGCCATCTTGCTCAGGCTGTTCATAGTGAGAACAACGTCGGTATTACCTGATGCGTCTTATGGAAGACTAATCAACTACTAGCACTTTGCCCGAACCAGCAGCTGCCCAAGGGCGCTGACGTATGCGTTTTAAGTTCTGTTTTTGCTGACAGGTTTACCACGCGTGGGCATACTTGCTTAACAAGCAATACATTCAAGTCCATGAATATGAAGCGCTTACTCAGCTGTTTCTAATCTCTGAGGATAGTACCATCATGAAATCCCACCGCGCGCTGAGGTTCAGAACGTAATGTGGTAAGCCCTGAGACAAGGAATGACGGTCCACGCGCGGTATCAAATGTTCCGATAAAGCAACACTAAATGACAGTGCAGTACATGGTGCATTTGACTTTTTCTCATTGCGGATAGCATTATCTATGCTCGACTCATACGATGTGTCATGGATCAATCAGAATATGTGAGACGTATTAACGCGTCACCACATCAAGTCGGCCAGATTTCAATCTGATCCCAATAGTACACCTGGCAAAATATTCTACATCTTTGTCGTTCTCCGCGAGAGATGTGGCGACGCTGTTATAAATCATGATTTAAATTGATCATAAACAGCGTAGAGGTAAGGAGGTGTACTCGGAAGTTACTGTATATGTACGTCACTGTGCTTTGTTACGTCACTGTGCTTTGTTACGTCACTGTGCTTAGTTGGAAAATCTGTATGATTATTGCGGCTCTATGCTAGCAGAATGTGAGCTCAAAAACGTGTTCATGACCATCGGCATCAGCTAAAATTCAATTATAGTCTATGGCCAAGACCGGAGTGTCGCGGGCGACATAAAAAGCTGACCAGGATCTTGAATGTCCGAAATTGAAACAAACATATATTCTATGCTTTTTACTTAGAAAGCGCCCTCTTCTGTCGCATCGTGATACGGGTAAATATTCTTTATAAGACGATCGATGAAAGGCTGTGCCATAAAGGCAATTTTTGCAATTACTTGTGCAAGTAGTTGGCATGGTCAAGCACTATCCTAAGATTCATTGGAATGCTGCATTGAAATTATACGATATGTTACAAATCGCATTTTCCATTCGAGAACCCGTGCTTCCAAATAAATCATCCAATAAATGTGATTTCGTCCACGCGCAGGCATGAATGCTTATGTCGGCAAATATCGGATTGAGACACATACGATCGAGCATTGTTCGTATGTGTTTCATGTGGATGCTCACATCAAATTAAACATGTTATACTCGGCATACAGCAAATAATTCGTTGAAATGTGCACAGTGCGGTCTAATAGTTATGTCATCCGAATTTTAATTGTTTTGGCGCTCCAAACGGTCGCTGGGGCATTACCAGCCACTGCCAGAGCATTCGCCAAAAGTACTTGCAGAATGAACGAATTCATCGGTGACTGTCGTGGGCAGTTGATAACATACATCAAATAGCTTGAGAGGTCTGAGCAAGTAGCAACAGACCAAGCTGTTCTACAGCAAGTCTAATCGGAAGGCGACGATTGTGCTGGAACGATGATTGCATCTCGTTTGTTATATTTACGCACAAAACACCACAGGCCGAACGCCAAATGTCAAGCGTTGTTTTGTGCACCACAAGGTCGAAGCCGTCTATATTGTCATACTTGATGAGGATCACTGTCTCCGGCATGGCTGAAAGCTGTGAATGTACTCACAGAATACCGGTTCACAGGGTGTGATGGGTGACTAGAAGGATCCTGCATATATGTATATATATTACTGAAAAGATATCATGATGTGGTGTCAAGAAATCCACGAAGCTTGTAGCACTTAGTTCACCGAGTATGTCAAGAAGGGTCCTGGTGTCTGGAAAAAAATTTGGCGTTACCATAAATCCACTACAGGGAAATGTCAGATACAATCTGAGAGGCGAGATTTAAGGTGCGTGGATCCTTTTATAGGCTTAAACAGTAATCCCAGTGCAAATAAATTTTGTCTCGAAGCGCTTTGCTTCTAAGATATACAGAGGCTTACGATTGAGCTATCCATTCCGTCAATACCCTTGAACGTTATTTTGCCGAAAAGACATAAGGTTGATACAGCTTGACAATGTCGTTTTGGGGTACCTGATGAAATTAGCGATTAGGAGAAGGAATAACGCGTTGTTAAGCTGCTAACACTGAAGTCCACAGCTATGTTTTCGTCTAACACAAGGTTATTTTTAGCAACATAGATGTCACACCAAGCGCTAGTACTTGCCTGAAGAAAACCACAGTGCTCATGCGTTTGGCATATCAAAGCTAGTCACTTATTCTGGGTATTTCGGTTTGCCATAGACTAGAAGCCGGGTCAATAAGCAACATTAAGACTACCTGCTAAACCAGATTTCGCAACAAAATTAGTCATTAAACACGCCACCGTTCTCCAAGAGACAAAATGATTTTGATTCAACTTTAGTCGCCTTGAACGCGAGCTCAATTGCGATATCAAAGCTTGACGTCAGCTGTACATCTTGCGCGCGAGAGAAACACGGATGTAGTTACTTTGTTGTGGACTATATAAATATGCGCCGACACTGCTACCTCTGCTCGTAGCTTGAAGTCATTCATACGGCTCGGACACTCTTAGTATCCCTGTAGCAGTTTAGATTTTACACACCTGGTGCCGTTCTTGCAAGTTGCTTTCCATTCATACGCTACATTAAGCTGTGAAGCTGAGTACTGGATTAAAAAGCTGATGTCACAACAGAAAAGATCACTTTTGCAAATCTAATTGTAGTTATGTTCCAGAGAACATTTATCTTTGCTAAGCTCAAGCGTATGTCTCTGCGATAGCTAACATAGTCCGAAAGCCCCCCCTCATAAT